CGCCTCGGCGCAGAAGGTGCCCCCGGCCGCGCCCGCCGCCGCCGCCGCCACCCCGCGCAGGGTCGTGGTGCAGGCGAGCACCAGCGAGCTGCTGCGCTGCCTCGGCGAGTTCCTGTGCCGCCGCTGCTACCGCCTGAAGCACCTCTCGCCCACCGACCCCGTGCTCTGGCTGCGCTCCGTGGACCGCTCGCTGCTGCTGCAGGGCTGGCAGGACCAGGGCTTCATCACGCCCGCCAACGTGGTCTTCCTCTACATGCTGTGCCGGGACGTCATCTCGGCCGAGGTGGCCACCGACCACGAACTGCAGGCAGTGCTGCTCACCTGCCTGTACCTCTCCTACTCCTACATGGGCAACGAGATCTCCTACCCGCTGAAGCCCTTCCTGGTGGAGAGCTGTAAGGAGGCCTTCTGGGACCGCTGCCTCTCCATCATCGACCTCATGAGCCCCAAGATGCTGCAGGTCAACGCCGACCCGCACTACTTCACCCAGGTCTTCGCCGACCTCAAGAAGGAGAGCGGCTCCGAGGAGAAGGGCCGGCTGCTCATCGGCCTCGACCGGTGAGCGCCCGCCGCCCCCCGCGCCCCCCGGACACGCCGCGCCCGCCCGGCCCGGAGCCGCTTCCCGGGGGGATTTGCCCGGCGGGGAAGGGCGGGAGGTGCCGCCGCTCCCCCATCCGCTCTGGGGGGGTCACGGGGGGTTCGGACCGGAGCGCAGACCCCCGGTTCTCCCCCCTGCGCCGCCGCTTTTCCAGCCGCCGCCCCCTCCCCGCGCTGCGGGCCCGGGGATGCTGCGGCTCCGCCGCCGGATTGATCCCAGCAAATCGTGGATGGAGAGGGGGAAAAGAACCCCCCCACAACCTCCCGGGAGCGGAGCGGGGCTCCGCGGGGCCGGTCACCGCATCACCGAGACAGAGCCCAGGTAGCGGGGGAAAGGAGGAAAAAAAAAAAAAAGGAAAAAAAAAAAGGAAAAAATTCCTCTAAAGGCTCCAGCGGAGGCGGCTGAACCGGCCCGGTCGGGACTCACCGGGACAGAGACGCGGGCACGGCCCGGAGACCCCCCACCCCCATCTCCCCCCGTCCCCCCCACCCCCTCCTTTATTTATTTTCTTTGAAGAGACTCGAATTCCCGAGCGGGTCCGGGTGACGGGAATCACCGCTACTGTTCATGAGATCAATGTGAAATGTCTTGTTCCCATCGTGCACTGATCATGAGTATTGTGTAAAGGATCTACTTGAGTGTGCAAGCAAAGGGGAGCCGCCACATGCTGCTATATGAATTCTTCTAGAACAAACCCAACGAACTGCAAAACCTGCGGGGGGGAAAGAGAGAAAAAAAAAAAAAAAACAACCCTTCTTTCTTCTGTCATTGTTGCTTTTCCAGTGGTTACTGCGCATGCAAAACGGGAGCATTTTGTGTCTTCAGATGAAAAAAAAAAAAAAGGAAAAAACGCATAAAAAAATAATAATCAAAAGAAAAAAAAAAAAAACCCTTAACGAGAGATGGCTGTAAAATTACACCCATGCACAAAGACCCAACACCACCCCGACACCGCAGTCTCAGCCGGTATTCCCGTATCAGGCCTGGGGACTGAGACCTTCTTTTTGGGTTTTATCATCATTTTTTTCTCCGTGTGCTCAGTTCTAGTTTAGTTCTGGTCCATCGGGCGTTAAACTGGCGAACGAGAGGGAGAAATAACGTGCCATTTACTTTTATTTTTTTGATTTTTTTTTTCACTTGAAGCTCTTCATGGCTGTACATTGGACCCTGCTAATGATACATGTGTACGTACGTTTTTTTAGTGCAATCTCTTCTGTAGATCTTTGTTGACCAAATTGGTGGGTATTGTTACTTATTAATTTATATTTGTCTCATTTTGTATGTATGTGTATAGTGTGTTTGTAAGTATGTGTGGTTTATAACCCGACCGACTGTGTCATGGGGCTCAGTGTGCCTGTAATTTAATCCCCTCCCCTTATTTTTATTTATTTTTGTACTGTGCTGATTAAATAAAAATGCACTGACCATCCATTACACGGCAGTGGCTCGTGGCCGAGTCTTTTCTGCGCTCCCACCCCTCCATTGGCAACGCTGGGAATGGGATTTGTGTTGACGACAGAGGGTTTTAAAGCAGCTTTAATCACGTTACCAGCCCCGGGGTCGCCCCATGGTGGGAGAGCAGCAGGTCCAGGAGCAGCCAGAGGGGGAAAATCGGGATATTGGGACACCAAAACACCACATTCCCTCCGAGCATCATCTCTGCAGAAACAGGCACGGCCATGGTGGGATGCAACTAATTGCTTTTTTTTTTATTTATTACAGTGAATTATGTAAACAAAACCCAGGTCCATTATAGTAGGTTTTTTTTTTCTTTTACACATTAAAATATCAGCGATTTAAAATAATAATAAAAAAAGGGTTCATTGCATTATCGCCCCCGGCTGAGAATCAGATTCAATTTAGAAATAGTTAATTTATGGGAAAACCAGGAATATATATATTTTATATATTTTTTATATATATATATATAAAACCAGAGCAGGAACAGATAATATATTTTATAAAGACATCTCATCACATACAATATTGCCATCTCATGGTGACAGAAATTCCCTAAGCCTGCGCTGTGCTGCCGTCCATCCCGATTCCAAACGACCATTCCACTGGGAGGGAAAGTGGATAAAAGTGCTGATTAAAATCCTGCCACTGCCTGGCCGGGGTTAGTGCGGGGGGGCCTCTGCACCGGGACAGCGAAGCGAGAAGTGCAAATCCAAAGGCACAAATCCAAAGGCACGGCAAGGCCGGGGATGTTCCCTCTGGAGCTGGGCTGTCCCACGGAGTCGCTCCTCCCGAGGAGCTGAGGTGGGATGAGAGGAGGTGTTGGAGGGCCCGTGGTGGTCCCGAGCGTGCGTGGGAACAGTCGTGGGGACAGTTGTGGGGACAGTCGTGGGGACAGTTGTGGGGACACTTATGGGGACAGTCGGGGCTGTCGCTGTCCCCTCCTGGGCCCCGCCGTGGGGGGTGTCTCGGGTTTGCCGGCGTCTGGAAGAGCTTCTTCCTGCAGAGCCCCAAAGCATCCCAGAGCCACAGGCTGGGAAGGGGCACAGGGAACTGGGATGTGGTGCTGGGATGCTGGCAGGGCTGCTCCAAGGCCAGGGACCTCGGGAATGGTGTGGAGCATCCCTGGAGAGGTGTACGGGAGGGGTGAGCTTGTGCCAGGTAACACAGAGCTGGAACTGCTCCACACTCAGGTGCCCCCAGTCCTGGGGGTGCAGTGACCTGTCCCTGCACCCCCCATGGCTTTGGGAAGCCTTTCGTTAGCAGGTCGTTAGTGAAGAGCCTCTTCCAGGCTTCCCAATTCCCGGAATGCTCCCTTAAACGAGTGCTCCCAGTTCGCCGGCCGGGCAGGGACCCCAAGGTGGGGTCACCCCGCAGCCCCCGCCTCCAGGGCTGGGAATCCTGACCTGACCAGCAGTGCCAGGACAATCCCAATGTACAATCCCAACAGCCTGGGCTGCTCAGGAGCCACGGCAGGGCCCGGAATAAAGCAGGGAGTATCCAGGTCCCTCTGGACACATGGAGCTCTGGGTTCTCGGGGCCGGGCAGGCGCGGGCGGAATGTGGGGCCACCGGGAGAGCTGAGCCCAACACCCCAACACCCACATCCCAATGCTGGGAAGAGCTGGGATAGCTCTCTGGAGGGAGGAGCCCTGGTGCTGTCTGTGCTGCTGCCCCTGGGGCTCCCGGGGTTAGTGTTGGATAGTGCAAAGCGCCGGAGCCGCGGCCTCGGCCCCACAAAGCTCCACGTGGTTCTGGGTTCACCCCCTGCCACGGGTCCCTCTTCCCTCCCTGAACCCCAGCGCTGGCACGGACACGAAGCCACGTGGATCATCCAAAAACCCAGCAAGGCCACACGGTCCCAATGGGAACCCACTGGATTCAGGTCCCTGGGGAGGGTAATTAAGGCAAAAGCAATGCAGGGGTAACAAAACAAGCCCCTGCACGGGAAGGCCCCTCTCCAGCTGGACCAGCCTCGGTGCCTCGGTGTGTTAAGGAATTCCCGGTGGGAAAGCAGCAAGTCTGGAGGTGTCTCCGTGTGCCATCCCAGCTCCGTGGGCTGGAGGAGTGTGGAGTGTCTCCCGGCCTCCCTTCCAAACCTGGCCCTGGTTCCATGGGGATTTGGTCCTACAGAACCAGACTCCCTGAGCCGGGTATCTTTGGTTCCTCCTGAGGAGGAGGAGGCTGCATCATATTGCAAAAAAAAAAACAACACATGGAAAAGAAACACGGGGGGAGGGGGGGAAACTGGAGAGGGGGAAAGGAATCAATGTGGGAAAGGGAGGAAAGGGTGGAAGTACCTATAAATGCTTCTTTCTGGACTAATTCCAAAGCACTTTTGTGATATTCCAGCCTGGTTTGTAAGATGGAGAACAGGTCACCGGCTATTTTAAGCCTTTGTTCTAAGTGAATTTGGCTTTTCTAGACCCGCTCGAATTCGGGTTTTCCAAAACCTCGAGCTTTGCCGAGCCCGTTCCCGGTGCCTGACGCGCGGCCGCCGAGCATCTCCCACCGAACCCCGGCGAGTCCCGGGCGCGGGGAGGGCGGGCCGGGTGTTAATTCCCCGGCACGGAGAGGACGAAGCCGGAGCGATGCTTGGTGAAATCCGGTTGGGATTGGTTAATCCTGGTTTCCACGGAGACCGTGCATTTCCGCCCGTGGAGGCTGCACTGCACCGGGTTGGTGACGCTGATGTGCAGGGCTCGCTTCTCTCTGCCGGGAAAAGGGACGCGAGTCAGAGGGATGGGAGGTGGCACCAGGGCCGGGAGAGGCGTTTTGGGTCAGAGACACCCCCCGCTGATCCCAGCACGCGCCAGTTAAGCCAGGCCTCAGTTCTGAGCCCGGCTTTTGGGCTCGGCTCAGCCCCGCTCCTGCGCGGGAAGCTCCCACGCTGCACTTGGAGATTTGGGATTGGGATTGATGCTCCATGGGCAGAGCACAGACAGGGCTGCAGAGGGTCCAGGGGCTGCTGCCACCTCGGCCACCCCTCGCCAGGTGACCCCACCAGCAAACCCTGAACCTACAGCAGTGACAGGGACACCCCTGGGTGAGCTCAGAGAATAAAGCCCAGCCCAGAACAGCCAAAGGAATCACGGGTGGGGTGATGGTTCTGGACAATCCTGTGTCAGACACAACTGTGTCCCTGCAAACCCTTCTCAGCTTTTTAACCCCTTAACCCAATTTTGGCAGTAAAAAATTAATCCCACAAATGAATCAGGAGTTTCTGCCACGTTGGCCTCTCCTTGGCTGTTGGGGGTCACTGCCAGGGGGGGACACTGCAGCAGATTCACCCCCCTGAGCCACTGGCGTTGGGAAGAGCTATCCAGGGACTTGGCCTTCGGGAATTCTCTCCTGTGACCTCACCCACACTTCAAACTCCTGAATTTCCAGCATTTTTAGTATAACACTGAGTGGTTTAAAGACTTGTTGACATTACTCCACTGCCTCTCCTGATGCTCCAAACGCCCCAGAGAGGATGTGTCAGGATCCCATTGTTTGGCTCCCAAACCCCAGGCCCTCCCTTGCCTGAGCCATTTCAGTATTTCCACTGCCACAGCCCCACTCCTTCGTGCAGTTTTTGCTCCACTGTTCAAGTTGTGCCACATCCCTTAAGCCACATTTTGATGCAGCTTCCAAGTAATTCAGATTTTCACCACTTCCTTAAAAACGGTTGGTTGGCTGGTTGGTTGGAAGGGGCTGCCAGGGCACAGCAGACGAAACCCTCACGTGGTCCCAGGTATTTAATACTTATTTACTCCTGCTTGGGTGAGTCAAGGCTGAAATCCCAGCTTAGTTTGCTATTTTTACCATGTCTTAGCAGGAGGAGCCTCCTGGAGATTCCTGTCCCCACGTGCTTGGGGAGCAGGTTTAGCACCAAGTGGCTGCAACACAGATAAGGGATGAGGACTCTCCTCTCCTCCCCTCTCCTCTCCTCCAGCCCTCAGCAGGTTCTGGGTAACAAGGCAGAGGATCTGAGGAGAGGAACATCAATAACCTGAATTTTGACCCCCAAGAAGGACCCAGGCCTGGCAATCAGAAGGCTGTGGGACCTGCAGCAAGGAGGTGAATCTCTCTGGGTCCCAGCTCCTGCTGGAAGGAGGAGAATCAACCAAACACATCTACGTAAATCTAACGCTGTCCAGGGATGGTGGGACCTGGAGGAGGTGCTGTGATCTTTGCCAGGTGTAACAATTCCATTCAATCAGGGCTTCACTCCCCCCAAAACACTTCCCAGATCCCACCATGCCAACACTCATTCACTCATCACGTGCTGCCGGAGGTTTCAGCCTCAAAGGCTTCTGCTGAGGGAGCAGGACAGCTCCTGGACGGCATCCAAGGAACAACCCACAAGGGATCTGCAGCTCCACAGGGATGACAAACCCCTGGCTTGGTGTTCCCTGCCACCAGCTCCAGGAGCAGCTGGACCAGCCGGGACCTCGGGTCCCTTGGAAGCTGCCCCAGCGCTTGGTCGGTCGCCAGCGAGCAGGGGGTGGAGGGAATGTGGGAATGCCAGGTTGGTTTCCAGCCTGTTGGTCACAGCAGCCTCGCTCCTGGTGCTGCAGCCAGGAGGGGACGTGGCAGCTGCTGGTGCCCCGGGCACAGGAGGGTTGTTTGGTGACCCAAAGGGAGGGAACAGCTGCTGCATCAGTTGGGAAATCGGAACAAGGACCTTCCAGATCCCGCTGCTACAACCAAGCAGCTGGGGAGGTGCTTCCCCAAGTTCCCATGGAATTTATATCCTGAAGGAAGGGGTTGAGATGAAGGTCCAGAGCAATCCTGGAAGTCAACAAAGTCTTTCATAGACAAGGGCAACACACAGTGAAAATGCCCTTTGGGGATCACTGGTGCTCTGCAAGAGCCTGAAGGCAGCAAAGGCAGAGACAAGTCCCAGCTCCACTCACACTTAAGCTGAAAAAGGAGTTTTCACGGTACAATCCTGTCCCACCACTTTTTGGAGACTTGGGGCAAGGGCCTGGAGGGACAAGACAAGGGGGAATGGCTTCCCACTGCCAGACGGCAGGGTTAGATGGGATATTGGGAAGGAATCCTTCCCTGGGAGGGTGGGGAGGCCCTGGCACAGGTTGCCCAGAGAAGCTGTGGCTGCCCCTGGATCCCTGGAAGTGTCCCAGGCCAGGTTGGACGGGGCTTGGAGCAGCCTGGGCTGGTGGAAGGTGTCCCTGCCCATGGCGGGGGGTGGAACTGGATGATCCTTCCCACCCAACCCATTCCATAACTCCCTGTGGGCACCAGGCACAGTCCAGCCCTTTGGGCAGCTCTGGCTCCTCACCAAGCCCAGGTGTCACCACACACTGATGGAAGTCAAGTCCACCAGGACAAAATGACAGATGCAGCTCCTGGGAAATCAGCTGACTTATTTTTAACAACGATTCCATCAGAAGAGACAGTGAGATGTGAGCTGAGCCCCTGCCAAGGGCAGAAACCCCAGCCCCAGAATCCAGGAAGAGTGAAATGGCCTGGAAAATGGAAAGGGAAAAGGAGGTTTTGTGAGGAAGTTGGGATTTACCCCAGCACTGCTCCTGTCCTGCCAGGGAACACATGGGAATGTCTGTGTGGAATGAACAAGGTGGGAATGTCAGTACGGAACGAACCAGACAATAATTTCTGTGTGCAATAAATGCCAAGGTGTTGGTGCTTCCTGCAAACACAGCTCTTCGTGCAACTGCAAGGAATATTTTTGGGTGGAAGCAGCTTCTCCAGCTGCTGATCCCAGCTCGTGGCGAGGGCTGGGCTTTGCCTTTGCCTTTGGATCTCCCGGCTCAGCGAGCAGGGCCCTGGGTGAGCACCGGCAAAAGGGAAACCAGCAGAGAGGGGAGGACTGGGAGTGGAAGCAGCTCACTGGCCCGTGAAATGTGAGAGTTTTGACTGAGCATTTAATCCAGGACCTCAGGGAAAACACAAGCCAAGTGGTGCAGAAATGGCCCCAGACATCTGTCAGCTCTGCAGACACAGGAACAGCCCCGGCACCCACTCGAGGGCGGAAGGACACGGCCAAGGGAGGGAGCAGGCAAAGATCAGAGGGAGCTTAGGCAACACAAGGCTGGAAAAGTTAAATAAACATGTTAAATAAATGTTAAACGTGCAAGATGTCGGGTTGGACAGGGCTCGGGGCAATCTGGGCTAGTGGAAGGTGTCCCTGCCCGTGGGACTGGGGGGCTTTTAGCTCCCTTCCAACCCCAACCATTCCATGATTCCTGCTTAGGAGCAACCACAGGTGACCTGGAATGCCCTGCAAGGAGCTGTAACAGGCCTGAAAATGCAGCAGAGCACTTGTCTGGGAGATGTTCCCCATGGGCAGCTGTGAGCTCCATCCAGGGGGAGGGGGGCTGGGAACATGCCCTGCCCAGGGCTGGGGGGCTCTGGGGCTGCAGCCCCGTCACTGACAGGGCTGGGGTGGGACAGGGGTTCACACAGATCTCCCAGGATCTTTAAGTGAGGTGCTGCCTGCTTATGGCTGCAGCCAACACCACCACAGAGCAGGACATGGGCTCTTTTAGGAAGCAAAATTTGGGCAGAGGTGGCAAAGCCGAGCCAGGTGCCTGATTTTCAGGACAACAAAGATCCGAGGGATTTTCAGAGGGATTGAAACCATGCTACATGTGCAGTGTGGTGTGAAAGGAGGGCTCAGCAGCAGTGAATACAGTGGGGTGGATTCCAGAGGGGACTGCTTTAAACCACCCAATTTTTCTAGATCTTAAACCAAGGCCTCTCTCTGGAAGGGCAGGCAGCACTGTGGGCTTCCAACCCAGGATGTCCCATGATTCTGTGACACCACAAAGCCTGCAGCTGCAACCAAGATGGGAGGATCAGGAGGGGCAGGATGGAGAACACCCGAAAAAATGGGAACACCTTCTGTAATTCAGAGCTGCCTCATCTGGACACAGCCTGAGCCTTGCAGGGGGTACAGCCATGAAAGAAAACATCAAAAAGGCTCCCAGATGAAGGGAGGCTGCAAAAAAAGAACCCAAAAAAGCAGGAGCTATATTCTGCACGAAGAAAATATGCAGGAAGTGGAGAGGGAGGAACTGGAGAGGTCTAAAAAAAGGCAATTTTCAAGGCTCTGCTTCCCAACAAGAGCCAAGGACAGAAACAGGGATTCTGAGAATTCCAAGGAGGGCTAAATCAGCTTTCCAGGCAATGTGTGGTGTCACTGCTGGGAATCACTCCGGGATGTGGAGCTCACTGCT